CACAATTTGGGGAGGGGGGGGACACGACCCAAAATCGAGTGTTACCCCCCCATGACTCCTGAGTAAACGTGAGCTCACGCCATATGCACGTCCCTGTTTGCCTGGTGCATCTTGAATCCCTTGGAGCTTGGAAATCCCATCCTGGTCAAGCTCTATGAAACATTTTGAGTCTCTGCTTTGTGCTCTGAAGGGCTTTGTTCCTGTGCTCACATTTGCTCCGGAGCTCTCAATGTCCAGCGGTGACTAACCCTGAGCCACTTTCACCTTCCACTCCATAATGAGTTGCAGATGTTGTCTTAAACACGTTAAGCTGACGAAGGGAAAAATGCTCTTATTTGTTGATAATGGCCAAGAACCACTTCTTCAGCCTGTGACAAATGCAAATAGCAAATGTATATATTTTTATTAAAGCAGTAGAATTCTCCAGAGACAAGAGAATGGAAATAGTGTTACAAAACTGTTAGGAAAACAACTGCCACAAAGAGCAGCCGTGTTTACAGGAGCAGCATCCAGGGAAATAAGGTAGCTTTGAGTCCTGGAAGGGGGGCGAGATAGGGTCTGTGTGGGGAGAAATCCTACCAAATCCTGACCACTTCTGTGGGAGCAGCTCCTGAAAGGTCCAGTAGTGTTAGTCTATCGATGAGCATATTGAAAAGGGCTTTGAAAAGTGGGCATTTCCTCCTGTCCCATTGAAAACAGAGGTTCCTGCACAGCTCTTCCAGGGCAGTGAGCCAAGATGACTCCTAAAGGATGTTGTTTTTCTTCCACAACCAAACCCAGAGCAACAGGGAACCCCTGCCATAGCCTTGCTGACAGAATCTCTGTTCTTCAGCTTGCTTTGATTCCCCAGTGCCTGTAGGCAAGGTACAAACTGGAAAAGGCAATTTGGGAACAGGAACTCCCCCTGGTGAAGCCACGGGAGGGAGGTTTTGCTGCGGCTGCCGGACCCTGGGTGAACAGTCTGCAAAGGGCTCAGGAGCTGCCCTGAGCCTTCTCCCCTTCCTGGGGTGAGGCTGGGTTTTCTCTGCCTTCCCATCGTGGTCCTTTGGCGAGCAGGAGCGCTAACACCCTTCGCTGGTGGGACACTGGGGCTTTTCCAAGCTCTAACACAACCCAGACCTGGGAATCTCCCTCCAGCAGCTGGAGGCTGAGCGGAACCGCTGGGGCAGCGCGTGTCTCTTGGTGCCATTCTTGCTGGAGTGACGTTTGCTTTGATATTCTCACTGGAGTGTTCACTTTGCCTTCTGCTTCCCTTGGTAAACCAGGTGCGCTGAGGTCGGTGTCCGCTGAGCCGGGTTGAGGTGCTTCTCCTTCCTCCTGCCCCACGTGCCAGGAGAACCTGGAGCCACCTCCTCTGGCCTCTGACTCGCGTCTCCTTCTTCCCTGCAGGTCTGTGCAGACTTTTGCAGACAAATCAAAACAAGAAGCTCTTAAAAACGACCTGGTGGAGGCTTTGAAGAGAAAGCAGCAAAGTTAAAGTCCTCTCCATGCTAACAAGACATGCCATGCACTCGTTAGATTCCTTTCTTAGAGAACTCATCCCCCCCCTTTGCCCTTTTCTGTTCTGTCACGTCACGATTTGCATTCAGTACTACCCATGCAACGCCATCTCCTCCCCATGAATAAAGCTGTACAAACTTTTTCAGTCTCTGAGGCCTACTTTGCACCACGTTTTACTCTTGAGACCTTAGGCTATGTCTGTAGAAGTCCATGTATTTTTTTTCCCCCCTTTCTCCTCTTCCACCTTCCCCCCCTCCTCCCCATCTATATGCATAACCACGGATCATTGTTTGTCTTCTCCTCCCCTCCTCCTGCCTTTTGTTACATTGGTGTACAAAATGTAAAACAAGAATTTATTAAATACTGTGGTGTGTGAAAGAAGAACTGGAAAAAAGGAAAAAAAAAGACTAATAAATCTATTCCACGTATGTCTGGGGCTGGGCACAGGGGATGGCTGCCGGGAGGGAGGGAGGGAGGGGAGAGAGGGTGTTCTCGGGGTTGTACTGTACTGAGTAAACCCGTTGCAAGGAGATGTTGATGAGGAGACCTGCTGAGAGCTCTGCTCTTCCAGAGCCTGGTTCCGAGGCGCTTTTCTGTCAATTTTTATGGAATGCAAAAAAAAAAGGGGTTTCTTTTTGGTTTGATTTGGGGTTTGGTTTTATTTTTTTTTTGTAAAGCTTAAATCGAATCCACATCTGAGATTGAGCCTCCATAGAAAAACCAGAAAAAAAGAGAAAAAAAAGACTAAAATGACAATAAAAAAACCTCCCAGGAAGCAGTGTGTGTGCCACTGGTGTCCTTCTTATTTCTCTTCCCTTCCTTACAGGGTAACTTGGGGGTTGCGCTGGCAACGCTCTTCTGCAGTGCCTGAGGCCATCATTGGGGCTGAGGTAGGTGTATGGGGCTTGAAAACTATGGCAAAATTCAGTAATCCATCAGCCTCTCTTTATCTGGCCATGGAAAGTGGCTTTTTTCCCCTTTTTTCTCATCTCCAGATGAGCTGAAACTTGTTTGTTTTAACGAGGGTGGAATGTCCTGCTCCCCATAGGTGTAGCTGCATCACTCACCAGCCTGATGCCCTTCCAGGATGCTGGCACTGGGATGTCAGCATCCCGTGGCTGGGATTGGCACTTCCAGCATCCGGCAAACATGGGACAGATGGATTTAGGGAAGGATTAGTCCAGCGTTGCTGGGTCTGTTCTAAATGGCTGGGGGGGGAACCCATGTGCCAGAGCATTCCAGTTCACTTGGCAGCTTGAGGTGGGGGCTTCCAGCCACTGGTGCTTGCCCAGAAGCTCCTCAGGTTGGGTCCCTGTCAGTTGTGAGCCTCGTGTAGACTTCCCCCTCCATAAGCACGTGGTGGGACCCTGCCTGGCTCCCATCTGCTGTGGTCACAACTGAACCTGGTGAACCCAAGGCAGCAAATACCTGTGGGGCTCTTCCTGCACGTGGAACAGTGGAGTTTGCCTCTGGGTGAACCTGTGCAAAGTGAGACCTGGCACTGCTATTGATTAATGTGCTCTAATGTTGCTTTTCCAGTGCAACCCGTTTCACATCCACACCTCTGCAGGGGGTTATGCAGTGTTCACTCGGGGGCCTCTGCTCTGCAGCACAGCTCACACAGGTCAGGTTGCTCCAAGCCCTGTCCAGCCTTGTTCCTTTCTCTTCTCAAAGCCACTGATGGTTTGTGCCTCCTCTTGTCTAAGTTTCCCTGTGCAGAACCTGCAGGTCCCAGCTCTGTGCAGGACCGGGCTGTTACAGCCTCAGAGGGAGGGGAACCTCAGCCAGAGGCTCCTTGTGACACCAGTTTCCACTCACCGCTACCTCGATGGCTGCTGGGGCATTAACTCCCCTGCCCCGTGCAGCAGCAGCCACCCACCTCGTGCCATGCTCCCCAGCCTGAGGGAAAGAAACAGGAAATCAGCTTTGTCCTTAACCTGTGCTTTGGATGCACCTCTGGGAACAAACTGGGGGGTTTGTATATATATACATAAAAATATATATATATGTGTATATTTACCTCTTATGTTAGAACATCCTTGTCCAGCACTAAGAAAAGCCTCGGTGAAGCAGGGCAGTTAGTATTGTGAGTGGCAGAAATGTGGCTCTTTGTTTTAGCCAGACCCTCCCCAGCATTCCAGAGCTGAGGCTAAAACCCCTCCTTGGATAGAGGCAAGCCCCAGGGTCTTTGTAATGAATTGAGGTCTAATAAGCTGTCCTCTCTACCTTGCTTGGAGTCTGCTCCTGGTTTGTGTTAGGGCTGGATGCAGGCTGTTCTGCTGCAATTCCTAGGGAAGGACAGCAAAGGAAATCTTGCTGGCTCAGAGCTGGGGAAGAGCGGAGCAGCTCCAGCGAGCCTGGAGGGGAGAATCATGGATTAATGCTGTGAAAAACCCACCCACTTTGTTCAAGGGGCTCAGAGAGGCTGAAAAATACCTTTTCTTTCCAAAACCACATTGGCAGCTCCAGAGATGGGCACAGGAGTGTCTGAATTAACCTGCTGGTGCACTTTGATGGGCACTGGGACTCCCATTCCACATTTGATCTAAGCTGTGCTGTGCAGGCTCAGAGCTGTGGCTCTGCTGCCTCCGTGCGAGGGTGAAGCAAGGAGGAAGCTACTTCCTCGGGAAGGACAAGTGTCACGGGACTGGCATTGTAAGTGGATGATGAGGCAGCTAAAGCTGACCGGGGACAGGGAAGTGCTGGGTAGTGGGGAAGTGGAGAAAAAGGGAGTGAAATTAGAGTTAATGGTGACTGCAGGGAGGGAGAATTCTTGGTTTTAAAAGGACAAGTTAATAAGATCCCAGCCTGGTTTGGGTTGAAGGGACCTTAAAGCTCCTCCAGCTCCAACCCCTGCCACGGGCAGGGACCCCTTCCACCAGAGCAGCTTGCTCCAAGCCCCTGTGTCCAACCTGGCCTTGAGCACTGCCAGGGATGGGGCAGCCACAGCTTCTCTGGGCACCCTGTGCCAGTGCCTCAGCACCCTCACAGGGAAGAGCTTCTGCCTAAGAGCTCATCTCAGTCTCCCCTCAGGCAGGTTCAAGCCATTCCCCTTGGCCTGTCCCTGCAGGTCCTTGCAAAAAGACAAGCTGCGTTAGTTTTCCTTGAAGGGCCCACAAGTATCAGTCGATTCTCCTCTTTCTTGCCCTGTGAGATGGAGCTGCTCCTCCCCAGCAGAAGGAGCTCAGCACGTGCAGAGGCCACTTTTCCCAAGGTGCTGCTTCCTTCTGCGGTCAACAAGCCACTGTGTGGTGTGTAGGGCCCTGGGAGCATGATAAATCCATCAACAAGAGAGTAGGAACCAAACAGCAGAGCAAGAGGGGAGGCAGCAGCAGCAGCCTGGGTGACCGCCTCCGCAGCTCCCAGAGAGCAATGGAACAACTTCCCCAAGAAACCCACACAATTCAAACAAGAAGTCAGTAATGGGGATTATGAGACACAGCGAGAAAGGGGCAGGAGCTGCCAGATGAACGGGCAAATAAAACCTAAGGAGGCACATGGGCAAGGACTTGGTTTATAGACATGAGCCGTGCTAATTCAAACAGGTTTGTGTGGAGTGAAACACTTTGGTTACGCTGCTCCTTCCCTCCCTTCTGAACTGGGCCCAGTCACTGAGGTATCTTCTAGAAAGAGGCAGTGGAGACACAAGGCCCACAGAGGTAAATGGTTATGGTGGGTCACTCATCTCCATCCTCTCCCCACAGCCCCTCAAGCTCTTCTCATGTTTGACAGCACTGAGAAAGCTCCAGATCACCCCAGAGGCAGCAGATAAAGAGAAGTGACTGGGCTCAGCTGTAAGAGCTACAAAGAGCAACCTTCTGAGGTACTAAGTTATTCCCTGTTTATCCCAATAGCATCATTGGTATCAAAGAGGCACAAGGTCCCTCAGCAGTACCCTCTGCCACCCAGCTGGGCTTTAGCAGCACATGTCAACCCTGGCTCAAGTCCTCTTCTCCCAAGAGCTGCCAGGGTGGAGGAGCTGGTTTGCCCAGCGTTGGGGTCAGCTTTTGTGTCTGCATCCTCCTCTTCTCCCTCCAGGGTAGGTCCCTCTGTCAGCTCTCCAGGCTGTCCCCCTGCTCGCCGAGAAGAGCACCCCTCTCTTCATGGGTGCCAGGTTTTCCTCCCCGATAAGCAAGGAACTGGAAGGAGATCTGAGAAGAAGTTAAGACTCTTCCCACAAGCAAGGGCGGGTCTATGGATGCATTGGGTCTCACCACCTGGAAAAAGGCTGTTGGTGGCAGGAGATGGACACAGGATGAGCTTAGTGCACACAAGGGTCTGAAGCATTCAGCTACTGCAACACCATGAATTACTGGCACAGCTCACAGCAATCACTGATGAGCACCAATCCCACCCACTGCTGCCTAGCCCTGACTGCCCCAAGGTGGGAAACATTGGCCAGGGAAAGGATACAACCACATCCAGGGAAAGGACACCCAGGCTGCCCACCAGCCAGGGGAGGTGGTGCAGGACGTAGTCCCCTTCACTTTGCCCTGGCTCAGGGTTCTTCAGGAGGACACTGAGGCCGTAGAGCGAGTTCCCGAGCATCACCAGGGCAAAGAGGGAGTAGGAGATCCCGATGGTGGACTTCCTCTTGTACTGGAAGAAGAGAGGCCAGAGAGAGGAGCTTGGGTGCAGCTCTGAAATCTCACTAGGAAGCAGTATTAATCACTCTCCCCCCCGAAAAAAAAGAAGAAAAAAGGTGGTGACTCAATGGCAAGAGCCTTTTAGTTCCCCCCTTTGCTTATAAATTAAGACAAAGTGAGAGCACCACCCTAAAAATACTATGTTAAAGGGAAGGGAGAACAATTAATCATGTTTTGGAGCAGAAATACAGAAAAATAGTCTCTTATGAGGTGATCAGAGATGGGACCTCTGAGCAACGAGGAGAAAGATGATCCCACCACCATTTCCATCTGACACCTCAGGACCCCAGGACCTGTCCTGCCACTTACATTCGTGTAGATCTGGGGGACTCGGGAGCACAGGTACAGCACAGAGGAGACAGAGCCAATTGTGAAGCCAATGATCTCGCTCCTGGTGAAAGGCTGCAAGGCAAAGGGGGGCATTGAGCAGCCCCATGTTCTCAGAGATGCGCTCACCACAGCTCTGTGCCAGGCCATAGCATGGCCAAACCCCTGCCCTTGATCTCCCCACCAAGCAGAATGCATTGATCCAGCAGGATGTGCCCACCCCACCAGAGCTTTATCTTCTCCTCCCCCCCCATCACCCAGCTTTAGGACTCGGCTCACCTCTGGCACCAGCTCACCCACATGAGTGGAGAGCAGGGACCTTCCTTTGAACACCACTGGGTCCTGTGCCACGGCAGCACCTCTGCCCAGGAAGGAGACAGTAGACAGTGTCCCCAGGGAAAGGAAGAGGAAGGCTGCGTTGATATGGCCAGTGACTGCAGGGGATCAAGCAGAGGCTGGTTAGGAGAGCTCCTCTCCCAGGCCCCAGTGCAGCTCAGCAGCCGTGGTGGGTGCCAGGGCTCCCTCTGAGAGCCCTTCAAGCTCTCTTATCTCTGCGGTGGCACAGCCAGCGCCAATAGCTGCTGTGGGCACTTTATCTCACAGCAATACAGGCAATTGGTAAGTTATCAGGTCGGAAACTACTCCTATCTCAGCAGGCAGCTTCTTTGTGCTTAGGGCTCTTCAAAAATCATCTCCTCCATCTAGAAGCTTTTCACAGGCTTAACTCACCACAGCACATGTTCAAATCCCTGCCAGACAGAGCCTCAACATCAAGACTTGGGTTGTGTTCTGTCAAGAAGCTCTCCAGTATTAACATAGTGAGACAGCTGATGAGCCAAATACCAGCTGGCTTAGTAAGTTAATGGCTTTAGTAAGTTAACTATTTATCAGGGTCCCAGGGATGCCTGTTGTAGTCAGAGATAGCTGCAATGCTAAAAAGTGGGTTTTCTCTTGCTGTTCAAGCCTTGCAAGAACAGTCCAGGTTCCCTTTTTACTCCATTTGAACAGGGAGGAACTTCTCCATCACATCGAGGCTGCCACTAATTGTAAGAGGTGCACTGACCTCCGAATTTCTTTCTGTACTTAATGCAGCTCCCAGGGGGGTTATTTTCCACCCAGATACTGTGCATGGCTGTTTGCGGAAGCCCCAGGCATGGCTGGTAGCTATTTGCAGGCTTTGGCTCTCACAGGTGCTCAGGTTAGCATAGAATCTCTCAAGCTGGAAGGGACCCCAAGAATCATTGGGTCCAGCTCCCTGCTCCTGGCAGAACTACCTAAAACCAAGCCATATGACCAAGAGCATCGTCCACATGCTCCTTGAACCCTGATGGGCTTGGTGCCATGACCCTGAAGAGCCTGTTATGGCTACTAAGGCAAAATTGCTTTAAGAATTACTGTAGGAAGGGAAAACATGTGCAGAGGCTTCCAAGATGCTGTGCTCACGTGTTTAGATTTGCATGTTCTGCACTGCAGAAGACAGAAGCAGGCATAGGATCAGCAGGGGGAAATGCTGGGTTTCGGGAACAGCAATACCATTTCTTCTCTCAGTGATCCCTGGTTATTATCCCATTTTTCCATCCTGACTACTCTTGATTCATCCCAGGTAGAATATAATGATGAAATTTCAAGAAGAGGCAACAAGAACCCCTACAAAGAGGTTTATGTTGGGATTTGAAAAGACTAGTAAGCAGTAAGCAGTATCAGTGCATCTGCAAAGCACCTCTGCCCCAATACATCTCCTCAGGGCTTCCTCCCCCTCCTGGATCCACAGCCAAGGCACAAGCCAGCCCAAAAGGCAGCCCCACCACCCTCGTAACCCCAACTCACATCCTCCACCCCGGTTCTTCACTTTGTAGTAGCAGTAGAGAGCCAACATCACCAGGTCTGCGAGCACATAGTAAATAGCTGTGTAAACCTATGGGGAGAAGGATGGGTTGGTTCTACCTGCAGAAAGGCTTCCAGGTAATGGCCAAGATGAAGCAGCATCCCAGGAGGAGAAGGAAGTATCCCCAGGAGAAGGACAGGGAGCATCCTGGGGCTGTTTGGGTCTCTGATGTTGGATTAAGCAGCACCCATCCCTCCTCCCTGCAGTTCAGGGTGCCCGAGAGCCAACCCAACCCCAGCAATTCAGCTGGTACCTGCAGGGGTAACTGATGAGCCAGAAAGGAACCGATGAGGTTTAGGAGGTCTCCGCCCAGCCATCCCAGCAGGAAATATATGGAGAGAGCCCGGTCCATGATGCCTGTTTTGCAGGCTTGGTAAAACTGCCTGCAGAGACACAACCCATAACCCCTGTATGGCTCAGCGCTACCTGGGAATCATCCCCAGGATTCCCTGTTGCTCCCACCTGGATCGTTTTGCAATTGCAAAGCACTTGGCACCAGGAGGGAGGAAGCAGAGATTTCCTGTACCTAAGGCAATCCATCTGCAAGCCAACCCCTGTGAGAAGTCCTGTGACCCACTGGCATCAATACACTGGGCTCAAGCCCTTGCGATCCGTCCCTCATGCAGGGGTAGAAAGCAGCAAGGAGAAGCACCAGTTGCAGAAAGTGCCTCTCTGGTGATGAAATAACCTGATGATACACCAAGACCCACCACGTCCCCCCTGCCGCAGCTGTCCCAGCACTTCCAAGAAGCCCAGGGCCCCTAGAAACACTTCATCCACACGCATGACCTGCAAGGACTGCATTGCAGTTGGCTTACGTGGATAATAACAGCTGCCAAGCACGGTATTAGCAATACAACAACAAACAAGGCTTCAGGGCTGCGCTGCCGGCTCCCTCTGCACCCCTTAAACCCCGGTTTTCCAAGCCCTGATTGTTTTTGCTGGGGAGAGTTAATAACTCAGGGAGCTCAAGCGTGAAGCTGGATTGAGGAGAGGAGCATTATCCCATGGGAAGGGGTTTGGGAGGGATGCTTACGGGAAGGAGGCAGCTGCAAAGCAGAAGATGGAAACCAGCCCCAGGACGACACTGGCGATGTCCCGGCCGTCCTGGGCACACTCATTGAACACATCCATCACCCAGCGGGAGCCGTTGGGACAGTCGGAAAGGTTCCCGAGCTCGAGACGCCTCCAGTGCTGCGGATCCATGGCCGCTGGTGCTCGGGTGTTGGTCAGGTGGGATAACGCTGGGGGAAAACATGGGAACGTGAGAAAAACATGGCAAAAACATAGGGAAAAGTTAATAACGCTGGGGGAAAATAGAGCTCTATTAGGAAGAGGCTTGGAGCTCCTCCAAAAGCCTCACAAAAACCTCATTATTGGCTTTAACTTTGGATACAGTGGGATAGCCAGCGATGAATGCCACCACCCAGCAGGATTTGTCCTCAAAGAACTGAACCTCTATGGAACAGGGATTCACCCCTCTCCTTTACTGGCCTTCATTTGGATGCAGTGGGATGACCGGCCGGGAATGCCGCCACCCGCCAGGACTGAGCCCCAAAGCGCTGCTCGCTGCAGGACAGGGCCTTACCTCGCTCCACGGCGGCCCTTTGGGAACCGCCTTTAGTTCTCCTCAGAAACCCGTGTTTTGCTGTTCCTCCTCCCGCAAGCTCCCTCCACACCCGCCGGTCCCTCAGCCGCGCTCAGGAGCCCGCTTTGCTTCGCAGCCAGCTGCTTTGTGAGGTAATTTTTCACAAACCCACCACTTTTATCAGAACCTGCTGGTGCCCTCCCACTCCCGCCGCTTCCCCAGCAAGCCGCTGCTATCCCACAACCCTAATTTTGCCGGAAATCGGTGGTTTTCGCCCCAAACCCGGCCGGGGTTTCAGCGCTCCCCTCAGCACCGCGCATGTGCCGGCGGGCTGGGCTGGGCTGGGCTGGGCGCGCCTCTCGCCCTCCCCGCGCATGCGCGGTGGCTCCGGCAGCGATGGCGGCGGGCGGAGCGCGGCCCGCTGTGGTGCTGGGCGCCATGGAGATGGGGCGGCGGGCAGGGCCGGAGGCCAGCGCCGCGCTGCTCCGCGCCTTCCTGCGCCGCGGGCACCGCCTGCTCGACACCGCGTACATGTACGCGGGGGGAGAGTCGGAGAAGATCCTGGGCGCGCTGCTGGCTGCAGGCACCGAGCCCGGTACGGCCGCGGGTGGGTTTAGTGGGGCTGGAGGAGGCGGGCGCTGAGGAGAAGGGGCTTCCGTGACAGGCTGGCACCGGGCCTGAGGGGAAGGGAGTACTCCTGGACCTGTTCCATGAGGATAAGGGTCTCCTCCGCCGGGCTGGCACCATTCCCGAGGAGAAGGGACTTCCCCTGGACCTGTTCCCTGATGCCATCCCTGAAGGAAAGGAAGGGACTCCCCTGCCCTCTGTGCCTTGGGAAGGGCCTTTAGGGCAGCCCTGCAGTCCCTGAGGAGAAGAGACCCCCCCACCCCGAGCGGCTGATGTGGTTCCTGAGGAGAGGCGCCTCCCCTGAAACACCCCAAGCAGCGCTTGCGTTGTGCCCCTTATCCCTTTGCTGATGCTGGAGCCATCCCTGCTCATTCTGCCTTCCTCTCTGCCAGTGCAAGTCGCCACCAAGGCCAACCCCTGGGATGGGAAGACGCTGAAGCCCGAGAGCGTGCGGTCACAGCTGAACACATCCCTGGAGAGGCTGAAGAGGACGAGTGTGGAGCTCTTCTACCTCCATGCCCCTGACCACGGGACCCCGGTGGAGGAGACGCTGCGTGCCTGCAATGAGCTGCACAAAGAGGTAAAGTGGGAAGAGCAAGCCTGGGCCGTCTCTTGGTTCCCTCCCTCTCTTTACCTTCTATAAACCCGGGCTGCTTGTTGTGCTCTTTTTCAGCGCTGGGTTTGCACAACACGAGGAGGGGGCACAGAATGGCCAGGGCAAAGCCCTGACTAACTCTGCATTGCGTGCTCACGTGGTGTACTTTGTGCCCAAGAGCTGTTGGAAGCATGAGACCATCTGGACTTTGCTTTCAGTGCTGACTAGGTTAAGATTAGTGCTGGTAATGGCTGAAAGAATTCCTGAATGGCATTAGTCCAATGGTGGCATTTAAATTAGAAGGTGTGAGTTCAGAATGAACAGGAAATATTTCTGTTGGGTCTTATAATTCATAGCAAAGGTGAACACGGATGAGCAGGGAACTCGGGGCTAAAATTTGATGCCTGCTCATTTCACTGTTACCTTGCACTGCCTGGGTACAAATGCACTTCTAAAACATGGACCTGAATATGCCTTTTATTTCTCTGCAGGGGAAGTTTAAGGAACTTGGTCTATCCAACTATGCAGCATGGGAGGTAGCAGAAATCTGCACCATCTGCAAATACAACAACTGGGTGATGCCAACTGTGTACCAGGTGAGGGGTGGGGGCTGGCCATGGCCTGGCACATCTTTTGTGGAGTCTGAGATGAATCCAACCAGAGGAATACAAAGGTTCAGCTCAGAGCGGCATAGAAATGGTTCTCAGTGCCCTTACAGCTACTGTGGGGAAGTGTCTGGGGCTCCCAGATCTTGGACCAGCTCCCAGATAACAGAGCAGAGGAAGCTGTGGCAGTCAGCCTGGGAGGTCCTGTCAGGACACATGTGATTAGAAAGCTGAGTCTGTGTTTGTTCCCCGAGTCAGTGACTCCCTTCATGTGGAACTTAAAAATCAATGACTTTAGGAAGTCTGTTCCTAAGCAGAGGATAACCTTGTGTGACCTGGAGCTGTAAGAGTGCTATCAGGGAAGGGTGGGGAAAAGGCTGTTCAGGTGCCCACTGCCCTGAGCTGGTGTTTGCAGTTCTTTGTCTCCCTCATCCTCGTGCAGGGCATGTACAATGCGACCACTCGCCAGGTGGAAGCTGAGCTCTTCCCTTGCCTGAGACACTACGGGCTGCGGTTCTATGCCTACAACCCACTTGCAGGTAGGGGGAGGAAAAGGGTGAGACTTGGAAACCAAACCTATGCAAAATGGAGGCTGTAGAGGAGCCAGCTCAACCCCAAACTTGCTGCTGACCCTTTGCAGGAGGGCTGTTGACTGGCAAATACAAGTATGAGGACAAAGACACACGTCAGCCCACGGGAAGATTTTTTGGGAATGACTGGGCTCAAGCTTACAGGGACAGGTATGTTTTGAGCTGATAGATGAGCAGGGAGATGGGGCAGGAACGACTGCATAGAAATGCAGTAGTAATCAGGTAAGAGGAAGAAGAATTGACCAAAACTTGTGTCTGTGCATGTGGTTGGGGCTGTAGCTTGTGACTGAGCTTCACAGAGTGTTTTTAGGTTCAGCTTCCTCCAGGCTTAGAGTGGGGGATTGTGGAAGTCCTTGGAGGCTACAAAGAGTTGCATGAGGCTTCCTGAAAGCCTCTTGTACTAGATGGGAATATAGATGTACCAGTCACTTTAGATCCTAAGGGCAGTAAGAGTGATTTTGTTGTTTTTTTTCTTGCAGATACTGGAAAAAGCACCATTTTGAAGGCATTGAAATAGTAGAAAGAGCTCTGAAAGATGCTTATGGCTCTGATGCACCAAGCCTGACCTCCGCAGCTCTGCGCTGGTTGTACCATCACTCTAAACTGCAGGTGAGCACCAGGCAGCTGTTGTGGCTCACAGCCAGGGCAAGGTTTTTTTTAATCTGCTTATCCTGTGGGCTTCTGATGTTCTCAAGGGAATATTGCTACATGACTGCCTGCCATGCAGCAGGAGCAAGCTGGCTCTCTGTTTCCTCGTGGTATCCTGTGTTTGTGGGAGTGGGAGAAGTGGAAGATGGTAAGGGGCAGTTACTGGGGTATTGGCTTCCCACCCAGACAGCAAGGAGATGAGTTTTCATCAAACTAGGGAATTAATGGTTATATTCCCCATCTCCCCAGAATGTTCCTGTAGCTCCTTGTAAAGTAGGATTTGGCAGCTTTTGAGGCATTGCCACAACATGGAGATGTTCTTGCCCTATGAACAGAACTTCATGGTGTCAGTTGTGTAAACACCAAGGAGCCACTGCCTCCTTTTTACTGGAAAGGTTTCAGCTGTGGCTTGAGAGGTGAACCAGGTTTCTTTTGGGATCAACACCTCCTGTCACTTCTCAGGGTTCTCTTGGAGACGCGGTGATCGTTGGGATGTCCAACTTGGAGCAGCTTGAGCAGAACCTCAACTACAGTGAAGAGGGGCCCCTGCTCCCGGCCGTGGTGGAGGCGTTTGACAAGGCCTGGAGCCTGGCTGCCTCCGACTGCCCCAACTACTTCCGCTAGAGACCAGGGTAGGGACAAGAAAGTGGGTGCCATGGGGGTGGATGATCGAGCACTGGAGAGGTACTTGCCAACCCTGCCGCTTTGATCAATGTGCAAATAGGTTTTTTCCTGTACTAATATGAATGAAGCTTTGCAGGATCCACTCCAATTGTCAGCACTTGCTGTGGTGGCCGTGCCTTCATCCTCCTGCCCTCCTGACTTTCAGCTCTGTGCAGCACACTGTGATGTACACGTGTACTTAATCAGGGGAAAATGAACACGTAACTGGATGGACAGGGGAAAATGAACACGTAACCCCAGTTCACCCTTAATATGAGATTTTAAATAATTATGTATAATAAAACCTTTTTCTCACACTGCCCCCATCTCCTAACCGCAGTCTATCTCTTAACCCACAGCCTGGCTGGCTTCTCCTTATCCATGCTCTGCAACCTCGAGCTTAACAGCTCCTCTGGGTCAGAAGATGGGAGCAAACCCTCTGCAACATGTTGGAGGGGGTCCAGAGAAGACCCACAAAAGCAATGGGGGACAGAGCACCTTTCCTGTGAGGAACAGCTGAGAGATCTGGGGTTGTTCAGCCTGGAGAAGACTCCATGGTGGCCTTACTGTGGCCTTTCAATTCCTAAAAGGGGCCCATTAAGAAAGATGGGGAGAGACTTTCTAGCAGGGCCTGTTGTGACAGGACGACGTGTGATGGATTTAAACTGAAAGAGGGAGATTCAGGCTGGATGTGAGGAAGAAATCCTTTACACTGAGGGTGGTGAAACACTGGCACAGGTTGCCCAGAGAGGTGCTGGATGCCCCATCCCTGGAGACATTCCAGGCCAGGCTGGATGTGGTTCTGAGCAACCTCACCTTGATGAATACATCCGTGCTCACTGCAGGGGATTGGACTGGATGAGCTCTGAAGGTCCCTTCAACCCAAACCATTCTGTGACTGTGTGATCTTCCCCAGTAGCAGGCACACTGTATCTAAGCTGTTAGATTTATGTGTTTTCATGTTTGGAGGGAGCATTTCCTCACATCCCAGGGTACTCCACCAGTAACAGGCAGTAGCAACGACCATCTGAGGTGTTATATGTACATTTATATATATAAAAAAGCATAATTAGGTCATTTCTATGAAGAGTGTATTCGAGCAGATTGTCCTTGTCCTCCAGGTGCAAACAGGGAAGGAAAACATCCTCCTCTGTTTCTAATAGAGCTGTCTGGTGTCCAAGCACAAGGACTGCTGCTAGTCCTCATTGCTGTCATCATCCTCCTCCTCCTCTGCTGCATCTCCCACAAGCTTCTGGAAGTCTCCAGTCTCCGAATTCCACAGAAATTTAATGGTGACTTTAAATTCTGCCATCTCATAGCCAAAGAGTTTCTAGGAAAGGACACAAAGTTGTCATTGCTGCCTTACTTCCATGGCCTGCTTAGCAAAACTATGTCAAGGAAATAAGTACCACTTCCAGCTGGGAACTGCGGCAAAGCAGGAGCCAAAATAACTGCTGCAGAGTTTTAGCACTCGTGTTAGGAAGGGGTAAGGAAGCTTGCACACCCCAGTGACCAATACCCAGCAGTGCTGCTCACCTTCACCCCAGAACTCACACCCTACACCACAATTAAGCTGAGAAATTAACTGGGGGCTCACAGAGATGCCATGTTACAGCGTTACTCACCAGGACTCGGGCTTGCTCAGGGGTGAGAACATCCCCTTCTTTGCAGACTTCATAATCTGAAAGCAGCGTCACCACTCCTGCGGGACCAGAAGCTCTTGAAATAGGCTCAGAAATCCTGGAGGAGCCCAGGGAAAAGCGGGGCTCTCACAAACACCACCATTCCATGCACGTATTGGAGCTCTCCAGGAAGCTGGGTGAGATAAGCTCTAAAACCCCCAAGTCTAGTTTCTGAACAGGATACAGATATGCTGGTGGTCACCACTGAAGGAAGGCAATACCTGATAGAGAGCTGGTTGCTTGCTCATCCTCTGACAACAGTTTGGGAAGAGCAGCACAAGAATACAATGACTTCTAGCACCAGCCAAAGAAGAATAAAGCTGCTCATGGGATTTTCTCCTAAACTCTTATTTAACATTCTCTTTCAAAGACATTACCTGTGCAGGTGAAAGCTGAGCTCCCCTCTCAGCCCCATCACATACCTTTCTTCAGTGTCGTTGGCAGCCCCAGCTGCCGTAGCTGTGGCTCCATAGAGTGAGGAAACTGCTCCAAGGGTCCCGTGTCCAGGCTCACCGTGTACGTCGCCTTGTTCCCCGCGCGGGCAAAGTCAACCTCTTTGAACTTGGAGAACCACCTGGGACAGGGATTGGTCACAAGAGCTTTAGCTGCAGTGACTTCTTCCCTGCTGTTGGGAAGATGAGTGGAAAAGCCTCACAAGATCCTGACTGCTTGAAGAGAAACGTCAGTGAGCGATGTAGACAAGGGGAAGGAAACCAAGCAGCTGCTCTGTTTCACACCCTCACTGCACTGACGTGTACTCACTCATCCACCTCTTCTTTGGTGCGGTTGGTGAAGAGCAGACCGACTTCTCCCCGCAGGTGTTTGCTGACCTGAAAGACAGAAGCCATCACGGGACTTGAGCAGTGTCCAGGGATCAATCCTGCACCGGAGCCAAGCTCTGCCAACAACAGGGATGGGTGCCACAACACCGGTGGTTTCTGTTACAGCACCCGAGGGAGCCCAGCTTTCTGGGGGCAAAGCTTTCAGGACACAACCCCTACCTTGTGCAGGTTCTCCTTGTACTCACTGCTCGGTTCACGTCCCAGCGCCACCATCATCACTTTGTTCTTCCCAAAGAAGATCCTGGACAGGCGGGAGGAGGAGGAAGGAGCCATCAGCTCCCGGTCCGCGCTCCCCCAGCGGCAGCACCCTCTGCCCACCACTGCCCCCCGTCCCACCTGCTGTGCTTCCAAGCGTTCCGCACATCCTTCAGCTTGTTGTTCCTCATGTTGGCAACGGAGAAGACGAAGATGTACTTGTAGGTGTCCACGCATCTCCGCAGCTGCAAGGCAGCCGTTAGCGGGGGGCCGGGGTACAGCGGCACCGCGCGGGGCCGGGGCAGGCCGCACCGCACTCACCTCGGCGATGAGCGCCTGCTTGGCTTCCAACCCCTTCCTGGGCGTCCGCGTCAGGGAGACTGCGGGAGCGGAGGAGGGAACGCGTTAGTGCGGGAGCGGAGAAGGGACCGCGGTAATGCGGGAACGGAGTAGGGAACGCGTTAGTGCGGGAGGGGAGAAGGGAACGCGTTAGTGCGGGAGGGGAGCGGAGAGGGGAACGCGTTAGTGCGGGAAGGGAGCGGGGAACGCGTTAGTGCGGGAGCGGAGAGGGGAACGCGTTAGCGCGGGAGCAGAGAAGGGAACGCGTTAGTGCGGGAAGGGAGCGGGGAACGCGTTAGTGCGGGAGCAGAGAAGGGAACGCGTCAGTGCGGGAGGGGAGCGGGGAACGCGTTAGTGCGGGAGCGGAGAAGGGACCGCGGTAGTGCGGGAGGGGAGCGGGGAAGGGAACGCGTTAGTGCGGGAGCGGAGAAGGGAACGCGTTAGTGCGGGAGCAGAGAAGGGAACGCGTTAGTGCGGGAGCGGAGAAGGGACCGCGGTAGTGCGGGAGGGGAGCGGGGAACGCGTTAGTGCGGGAGCGGAGAACGCGTTAGTGCGGGAGCGGAGAAGGGAACGCGTTAGTGCGGGAGGGGAGCGGGGAACGCGTTAGTGCGGGAGCGGAGAAGGGAACGCGTTAGTGCGGGAGCGGAGAAGGGAACGCGTTAGTGCGGGAGGGGAGCGGGGAACGCGTTAGTGCGGGAGGGGAGCGGGGAACGCGTTAGTGCGGGAGCGGAGAAGGGAACGCGTTAGTGCGGGAGCGGAGAAGGGAACGCGTTAGTGCGGGAGGGGAGCGGGGACCGCGTTAGTGCGGTAGCAGCGGTGCCGGGCCCCGGCGCACTCACCCTTGCGGTCCCGCTTGGATTTCGGCATGGCTCCGCGGCCGTCGTGCTCCGAGGCCCCCGCGGCGGCGCTGTGCGGGCTGCCGGGAGCGCCGGCGGGCTGCCTCCCGCGGTGCCTGTGTGTCCGCCTTGCGGTTCCGAGCGGGTTTGCGGCGCAGGCAGCAGCGGGGGCAGCCCTGCGGCGTTAAGGACCCCTGGGTGCCGGGAGCGCGGCCTGGCGCTGCCATGGCGGCGGGGCTGTGGGCGCTGCTGCTGCCGCTGGCGGCCGCTGTCTATGAGGACCAAGTGGGCAAGTTCGACTGGTGAGTGCCGGGGCAGCCGGGGGGGTCCCACCGCGCCGGGGGCCTCCTGCGAGCCTGGGGCCCGCCGTGCTGCCTCCCGCTGCTGCGGCCTCCCTGGGGCCTTCCCTTCCCCCGGTCCTATCTCAGCCGCTCACGTTTGCTGTCCTAGGAGGCAGCAGTACGTGGGGAAGCTCAAGTTCGCCTCTCTCGAGGCCTCGCAGGGTTCCAAGAAGCTCGTTGTGGCCACCGAGAAGAACGTCGTGGCTGCCCTGAACTCCAGGAGTGGTGAAATCCGTGAGTGAAGTGGGTTTTGTTGTGCGGGGGATAATGGGTTGATCGGGTTGTGCTGTGTGGGACTTGTAGCTGTGTGCTACATAGGGCTTGGGGGGTGTTGGTTGATGAGAAACTGAGCATGACCCAGCTTCAGTGTGTGCTTGAGCCCAGAACCTGCCCGTGTGCGGGGCTGCATCCCCAGAGCGTGAGCAGCATCTCAGGGAGGGGATCCTGCCCCTCCCTACTCTGCTCTCGTGAGACCCCACTTGCAGCACTGTGTGCAGTGTTGGTGTCCTCAGCGTAATGAGGACAGGGAACTGTTGGAGCAAGTCCTGAGGAGGCCACGAGGATGATCAGGGGCTGGAGCAGCTCCTGTATGGAGACAGGCTGAGAACATCGGGGCTGCTCAGCCTGGAGAAGAGAAGCTGTGTGGAGACCTCAGAGCAGTTTCCAGTGTCTGAAGGGGGCTGCAAGGATGCTGCAGAGGGACTCTTCATTAGGGACTGTAGCGATAGGACAAGGGGTGATGGGTTCAAACTGAAATAGGGGAAGTTCAGGTTGGATACAAGGAGGAAGCTCTTCCCTGTGAGGGTGCTGAGGCACTGGCACAGGGTGCCCAGAGAAGCTGTGGCTGCCCCATCCCTGGCAGTGTTCAAGGCCAGGTTGGACACAGGGGCTTGGAGCAAGCTGCTCTAGTGGAAGGTGTCCCTGCCTGTGGCAGGGGTTGGAGCTGGAGGAGCTTTAAGGTTCTTTCCAGCACAAACCATTCCATGATTCTGTGTTTTAATACTGAGAGAGTGATGCTGGCAACGTTGTTTTGTCAGACTAAGAGGATTCATCTGGCAGTTCAGAAGCTGTTGCTTCAGCAGGCTGACTGTTCTCTGTGTACATTTATGGCCAGAAAGAGCCTAAGTTTGAAAATAACCACAAACAAATGCTTTGGGGGAGCAGATCTTGTTCTCACATCGCTCCGTTTGTTTCAGTGTGGCGCCATGTAGACAAGGGAACCTCTGAAGGAGCAGTGGATGCAATGCTGATCCATGGACAGGGTAAGGAGAACACGAGGGTGTTGTGCTGGGGCTCGTGGTTGCCCTCATACATGGGATCTCAACCATATATTAGACCAGGAGCTGAACTTGCCAGAACTTCCTGCCTTGTTGACCTGTGCTGGGTACGTGTTCCATGTTCGTTTTCTCTTCATTTCCTGGGCAGATGCCATCACTGTGTCCAATGCTGGACGTATTCTGCGCTCCTGGGAGACCAACATTGGAGGGTTGAACTGGGAGACATCCCTGGACACGGGCAGGTAGGCTTTCCTGTTTGTAATGCTGCTGTAGAAGGAAAAAAGGGGTTGTTGACCTTCTCTGGGCTTGCATTATGGAGAAAAACGGGTTAGATGGAAGTACGTTTCCAAAATAACATCGGGATGAATTCTTTAGGAAGGGCTGAACCTTCCAGTTAAATCTATTTCTATTGCTTAGCAACCCAGTAAGAGGAAGAGGTGCATGTTTTTTTACATAGATTAATTTTCTCTTTAAACCTTACAACATGTTCAACATGCATCTAGTTTGGGGTGCCTGGATTCAGCCAAGTGCTCTCTGCGGAGATCAGCAAGGGTACATAAAGCGGGATAGAAATTGTACTTCACGACTGATGTTGAGTGTTTGGAGTGGTTTTATTTTCTGCTAGAAGAAAACAGCTCTCTAACTCACTGCCTCTGACCTATGCTTAGTTTCCAGGTGGCTGGTTTGGTGGGGCTGCAGGACGTGGTGAAATACGTGGCAGTCTTGAAGAAAGCAGCCATCTCTCTTCACTACCTTTCCAACGGGCACCAGAAATGGGTGGAACACTTGCCAGAAAGGTAAGAACAACTTTTAAGTGTAAACTTCTGGCAGGGAGCTTGTTGCCTTGAAGAGGAATGGATGCTGTGCTTGCCTTCTGCTTTTGGAAACTGATGTGAGGAGATGATGCTTCATGGTTGCTGCCTCTCTTGCAGTGAGAGTACTCAGTACCAGTTGCTGTATTCCCATGGGACTGGAGTGATCCATGTGCTTGGAATTGTTCCCCAGAGCCACCTGAACATTTTAACCTTCAGTGTAGAAGATGGAGAAATTACAAAACAGGTAGTGCTTGATTGTGGATCCAAAATACTGACGTTGATGTTAACAAATGTACTTCTGATTAGATGGGCTGTGGTGTGCAGAGTAATTGGTGTGGTGTCATGAAATTCCCTTTCACTATGGCATTGCTGCAGGCCAATAAATGGGTGGAAGCATTTTGCTGGAAGCAAAACCTGGAAATCTCAGTTTCACCCAGGGTCATGAATAGAAAAGACTGACTTAAATTCTTAGTTGTGTCCAAGCTGGTTCTTGGAAGATTTAGTTCTGTTGACAGCTTTGTTCATGTCTCACTTGGCAGATCAGAGTAGCAGCCCCGTGGCTGAAGACCCTGAACGGCGTGTGCAGCGTGGTGGGGGAGGCAGTGCTGGTGTGCATGGACATGGACACACGTTCACTCTATGTTTGCTCCTTGGAGACCGAGCAGGAGATGAGGCAGATCCCACTGCAGGTGAGAAGTGCTTAGAAAGAGTTGTATGTAAGTCATTGTCCAGCTGGTTTGGTGCTTGGCAGCAGAGGGGGTTCTATCTTTAAAACACAGAGCGATTGAAGAGATAGGGAGGGGATTGGAATCCGTACATTGAGACGAGAGAGAAAAGTCTTTGTCTAATCATTCATTCTGGATCAGTGCCTTCAGATCTTGGCTCCACCAGGATGCTTATCCTCCTTGCTTCTGCTTTATTTACCCTGACACAGGGAATCTCTTCATAAAGCTTATATTGCTGCTGATAAAAGGAAGCTATTAGTTGAGAAAACAGAGTTCTCATGAACATGTGTCTCCCCTTCACAGTCACTTGACCTGGAGTTTGCTGATGGCTTCCAGCCCAGGATACTGGCCACTCAACCCAATGTAGTCAGTGCTTCACGGACTCAGTTCTTCCTGCAGCTGGCTCCAAGCCACTTCTCTCTGCTGCAGTACAAACACGGGCTGCTCAGCCACCTCCGGGACTTCCAGCAGGTAACCAGGATGAATGTACTCCAGTGGGAGGGCCAAATACAGCTTAAAATTCCTTAAAACCTCTGTACTGAGCTTTCTGAAGGAGCTGCTGAGCTGCTTATTTCAGTGTGCTCTTGGCTGCAACACTTGAACACCATTTGATTACATTTATACTACTTGAACTATTTCCAACAACTGTATTGTTGCCAACAGTTGTCAGCACTGGGGTGCTGCCCTGGTTTTGAGGTGGGTACAGATGTGTGTCTAAGTGGCTGGTGGTGCAGCAGTACTTTTGGTACACCAGCTGAGAGGTTTTGAAAACAAATGAGCTTTAAAAAGCCAAGGAACACTGGACATAATGGTTCAAAACCCTGTGGCAGGTCAACTGCTTCCGTGTTTGAGAAGTATTAGATAGTATTAGTTCAGTCTTAGGTAATTTCATTTGGTGAAACAATGACATTTAAAGTCTGGCTGTGAAAGATCATCTGTTTCTAATGGTTTAGTTTGGTGCACAGGTAGGTTTTATGGGGTTTGGGGTGTTTTCTTGTTTCTTTTGCAATTTCCTGCTCTTTTCTCTTTTCAGGCAGCTCTGGTGAGTTTTGCAACAACTGGGGAGAAGACTGTGGCTGCTGTCCTGACCTGCAGGAGCGAGCTGGTGAGCACAGTTTGCCTGTACTATGGAACCAGCAGAGCTCTAGCATGGATCTGCTCGGGGGGGTGGGTTGCATAAGGGCTTTCCTTCATGGAGGAGGATTTAATTAGCTTCTTGGGCATATGAAGGCAATGATAATGCAAGCAGGCCTTGATTATTGTCAGATAAGGCTGTCTGTGGCTTGGTGAAGCATCTTGTCCTGTGTGCGGCGTGTTTGAACCTTGTCCGAGGTGGGCAGGTAACCTAGAAATCAGCTTCACTGGCTTGCAGAGGATTTCAGTTCTGAGGGGTACTGAACTTAGCCAGCTCTCATTTTTATCAGAAATAGAACAGAACAGACTGTTTCCTGCCTGGTTTCAGAGTCAGGCCGAACGTGACTTGTCAGGCACTCAGAAACCTGTTTTATTTTGTCCTCTTACTGCCATGTTATCTCTTCTCATCCTCATTTCAGAAGCCTGGGAGTTCTGATGGCCTGCATGCTGGACGTGCTCTGGAGGATTCCCAGAAGCAGGTATGAAGGGTTCCCAAGAGCAGCAGAAGTTCTTGACAATCCTTTTGTTCCTTTGCGTGCAGGAACAGAATGCAACAGGTGTTACACCATCTTTTTGAAGACCGTTTGTAGCAGCTCCACATATATAATCTAAAGCTCTCCTGCAGCCACAGTTCTTGCTGAATATGAAATCCCTCTGCAGAACTTGGTGTGGCACATGTGTTTAACTCTGCTATTTTCTGCCTGGTGTTACAGGACTCCTTGACCTGTTCCAATCAAACCTACAATATTAATCTCTACCTGGTTGAAACTGGACAAAGATTGCTGGATACCACAATTACCTTTACCCTGGAGCCGAGTGGTGCCAAGCCACAGCAGGTGAGTGAGGAGAGATTATCACACTTGCAATGCCCTCCCTACCCTGCTGTGGCAGACTTGATAGAGCCTTCCAAGGAGCTGTGCCTGTGGAGGACAAGAGGAAAAGCTTTCTGAGGGCGTGCTGGATTAGTGCACACAATCATGCTGTTTGCTCTTGATCTACCCAAGAGTCCTGTTTTCTCTAAGGACATGATGTGATCATTAACCTCACTGATTCATTTGCTTTTTGTTCCAGCTATACATCCAAGTCTTCCTGAAGAAGGATGACTCCGTGGGCTATCGGGCCTTGGTACAAACAGAAGACCACATGCTAATGTTCCTCCAGCAGCCAGGTAACTGGCACAAACAGCAGCTTGCTCCATTCTTAACAGTGCACACCTTGTCACTGTAGGCCAGGGAGAAAATTCCAAGTCCCAAATGATTATGTTTTATCATTGCTTTCTTTGGAAACCACCAAAATGAATTTAACTGGTCTAAGTTCCATTCCCTCAGTGCCATGGGTTAGTGGTGGCCTTGGGAGTAAAGGTTGGACTTGATGATCTTAAGGGTCTTTTCCAACCTCATTTATTCTATGATTCTACGAATGATCCTGGAGACTCTTTCACCCTCACAAGACATCTCATCTGAGAAAACATTCTGCCATGTTCTTTGTGGTAGGAGGAGAGTCCATCTGTTTGTGGTAGGAGGCAGATCTGTTACAGATCTTCCTCAGAGTTTCTTTGGAAAAGATCCTCATGGCAAAAATGTTCATTTGCAGGAAGGGTTCAAGGTCCTTCTCAGTGACATGAACTTTCTAGGGCTGAAAAGGAATCCAGTAGTTCACACTCTGTATCTCATACTTTAAATAGACGTAATGACTGTAAAACACCAGATCCTAGAATCATACCATCATACAATGGCTTTTACTGACCCAGTGGCTTTTCCCCAAAAGTGGTTCCAGTTGTGCAATATATTTGTCTTTTATGACAGAGCTAATTGCATGATATTAGGTAGGTAGGTGGATGGATGGAGGGAGGGATGGATGTTTTGTGTTTCATTAAGAGCAGTGATTTGCATCTGAAGGGTCCCCTGGAAGATAATTTCTATATTGAGTGAGTCTATTTCCAGATATTAAGTTTCTTTTTCCAATATTTGACTCCTTATTTCTTTCCAGGAAAAGTTGTGTGGAATAGAGAGGAGTCCCTAGCAGAAGTGGTAAGCTTGGAGATGGTGGATCTACCTCTGACAGGTGCCCAGGCTGAGCTGGAGGGAGAATTTGGGAAGAAAGCAGGTAAGCCATAGACATACCAGGATTACCCCTGTGAGTTTGGTTTTCTTTATTCTGAATAAATGTATTGATTGTTTTCTTTTTCATCTGAGCTGAGAGGATTCCATTTTCTACTGATGGCAATTAAACCAAGCAGAAACAAACCCATTTCTGTCTGAACTTTGGAAGTCCAATGCCAAATGCAGATGACTTGAGTGTATTACGTAGTTATATTAAATAACCAGTCAGCAGCAGTAGGGGGGATTTTGGCCACCTCTCCTAAATACTTCCCTTTGACTCTTTCTGTAAGACTCATTTGCAATAGCCTTTTTTTGCCCTTTGTTTTGTTTTTCCTTGCTGTCCTGGATGCAGCCATTCAAGGTAACCTCTGCATGCAGTGTTCCTGGTGTTTCTTACAACTGCTTCCTAGTGAAGTCTGATCTCTGCTTGTCTTCCTCAGTGGTTAAAGATAGTTGAAGTCTGGTGTTCTCTTTGTTTCAAGGAGCTAAATATAAACCTCGATTGGGCAGAATTAAGTATTTCTTTACTTCAAAGGCTTCTCTTGCTCTGAATAATGAGTACAGAAGGAGATATAAACCTTTTAGGTGGGTAGGCTTTAGGTGGGCACTTACTGGGGGTGTACCAGTGAGAAGGGATACAAAGGAAGAGGTGCTGCATTCTGCATGAAGGTTTGCTTTCAGTTGATGGGGATGTCTTCTGGAATGAGCTGTACCACTGTCAAGTGGGAAGAGGTTGGTAAATGCAGAGTCTGCTGTACAAATGGTAACTGGAACTGTGCTATTCTGGAATAGGAGCCAGAGGCAAGGAGTTCCTGTAGGTCCATGCATGGCAGCATTTCTTCTTTATGGTTGAGACCATCATTTCTGCTGTGGAGTGGGGCATAACGGTTTATGTTGTTACTGTGTTGGCCCCATTTGCAGATGGCTTGCTGGGGATGTTTCTGAAGAGGCTCTCCTCCCAGCTCATCCTGCTGCAAGCCTGGACTGCTCATCTTTGGAAGATGTTCTATGATGCCAGGAAACCCCGGAGCCAGATTAAAAATGAGATTAACATTGACAATTTGGCCAGAGATGAATTCAACCTCCAGAAAATGATGGTGATGGTCACTGCTTCAGGAAAGGTGAGGAAGCCAGGGTAGGAATCTGCTTCTAGCCTGTACCAAGGAGTCTCAGCTCTGGTGTTCATCAGGCTCTGGGCAGAACACGGCGAGATGATGTGCAGAATGCTTTGGAGAGGGACTAAGTCTCTTCTTTCTTTGTCATAGCCTGAAGAAACATGCAGTGCTTGAGTGCCAGACATGTGTTGTTCTAAACTTGGGTTTTCCTGTGTCTCTGCTCAGCTTTTTGGTATTGAAAGCAGCTCTGGCACCATCCTGTGGAAGCAGTATCTCAGGAATGTGCGACCAGGCTCCTCCTTTAAGCTGATGGTCCAGAGAACAACAGCCCATTTCCCACACCCTCCACAATGCACCTTGCTTGTGAAGGACAAGGTGAGTGCCTTTCCTCTCTCCCTCCACTGAACTTACTGAGCTTGGAAATGTGTGCTTTGAAGGAGTGGAAAAAAAGTCTCTTTTCTGGGTATTGTCTGGTTGTCGCTGACGTGGGGACAGGAGGAGAATGTGAACACCCTGAATCCAGGTTGTGAATAATCGACACTAGGAAGCAGCAGATAGAAAATCAGCTCTTTTTTCTGCCTTAGAAAAAGCTTTGCATCTTGTTTGTTTTATAGGAAACCAAAATGAGCTTCTTGTATGTCTTTAACCCCATCTTTGGGAAGAGAAGTCAAGTAGCTCCCCCTCTTTTGAAGCGTCCAATTCTTCAGACTTTGCTTCTGCCTATTATGGATCAAGATTATGCCAAAGTACTACTCCTCATTGATGATGAGTACAAGGTAAATTGCTTTGCCTGGAGACAGTTTTCCTCATGTTCTGATTAATATTCGCCTCCCTTTGGAGCAAGATTAAAATGCCATTGAGTCACAGTTCCCACAAAACGATGAGGTTATTCTGGTAAAACAGCCCTCATCCTGATAAATTTGTTTGAAACAATCTTTTTGTGCTGCTGTTTTCTTGGGTTTTGGTGGCTTGGGGTTATTTTGTGTGTCAGTTGGTCTTTAACCTCTGTTTCAATTCTTCTTTTCCAGGTTACAGCTTTCCCAGCGACTAAAAATGTCCTTCGCCAGCTAAGAGAAATGGCTCATTCCATCTTTTTTTATCTAGTTGATGCTGAGCAGGGAAGACTCTCTGGATTCAGGCTGAAAAAGGTATGGAAGACTCATTACAGTCCAAGTCCTGAACATCCTCTGGCTAATGGTAGCTCTCTTCATTGGATTTAAGGCATTTTGCTCCAGATTGAAACAGTTCAGCCTCAAAATGTGCCCAAGAAACTTGCATTTCAAAAGCATTTTACGGGCAGAGGTGGTGTCTTCTGAGGACAACGTAAAACCTCCAACGTGGTGCTTTGTTCCTGCAGGACCTGACAACAGAGGAGAGCTGGGAGGTGGTCATACCCACTGAAGTGCAGAGGATAGTGAGTGTCAAGGGGAAGAGGTCCAATGAGCACGTGCACTCCCAGGGCCGGGTGATGGGAGACCGCAGCGTTCTCTATAAGGTGCCTTTGCAACTTGTTGTTGGCTTTTTGTTGCTGTGTTATCTCAGGGGCAGATCTCAGCACTGTTTCTAGGTGCTATGTGGAGAGCAACTGCCCTGTGGTGCCATTTTTGCTCTATATGGCTCACTGACCACATACTTTGTTTATTATATGCTTAGTTCCAGATGAAATGTGTATAAATAAGGGGCCTACAGCATTGAAGTGAGGTGATTCTCTCTTTTTCTCCAGTCCCTGAATCCCAACCTGCTTGCTGTGGTGACAGAGAGCACAGATACACATCACGAGCGCACGTTCATTGGAATATATCTGATTGATGGAGTCACAGGCAGGATCATTCACTCCTCAGTGCAGAAGAAAGCGAAGGGACCTGTCCATATGGTTCACTCAGAGAACTGGGTGGTGGTAAGGAGTTGTTCTTAGCTGGTTCTTTATGTCTGGGAGGTTGGGCAATTGCTGAACCTGTCTGGAAAAGACTTTCTGATCATTCTCGGATTTTTTGAGATGTGTCTCTTGTGAGACACCACCTGCAGTAACGTGCACAGCTCTGGTGTCCCCAACACAAGAGGGACATGGAACTGTTTGAGCAAGTCCAAGGGAGGCCACAAAGATGCTGTGCAGCTCTGCTCTGGAGCCAGGCTGAGAGAGCTGGGCTGGTTCAGCCTGGAGAAGAGAAGGCTCCTTAATGGGAGACCTCAGGGCAGCTCCAGTGCCTGAAGGGGCTCCAGGAAACCTGGAGAGGGGCTTGGGACAAGGGCCTGTAGGGACAGGCCAAGGGGAATGGCTTTAACCTGCCAGAGGGGAGACTGAGATGAGCTCTTAGGCAGAAGCTCTTCCCTGTGAGGGTGCTGAGGCGCTGGCACAGGGTGCCCAGAGAAGCTGTGGCTGCCCCATCCCTGGCAGTGTTCAAGGCCAGGTTGGACACAGGGGCTTGGAGCAAGCTGCTCTAGTGGAAGGGGTCCCTGCCCGTGGCAGTGGCTGGAGCTGGATGAGCTTTAAGGTCCCTTCCGACCCAAGCCAGGCTGGGATTTCCTGCTGCCTCTCTGTATCAGTGACTCTGCTTGCCTTGTATTCCTAAAGCCCTTTTCTCATTTCAGTACCAGTACTGGAACACAAAGGCACGTCGGAACGAGTTCACTGTGCTGGAGCTGTATGAGGGGACAGAGCAATACAATGCCACAGCCTTCAGCTCCCTGGACCGCCCCATTTTACCTCAGGTTCTCCAGCAGTCTTACATCTTCCCGTCTGCCATCAGTGCCATGGAGGCCACCATCACTGAGCGGGGCATCACCAGCCGGCACTTGCTCGGTGAGTATGTCCTGCTCTGTTCTGCATGTGCTGATGCTGCCTGCACAAGGCAGTTTCACATTGAAATTCAAGCAAAATCAGTTTGCCTGCAAAAATGATGCCTGTGGGCTGCTCTGGCCTCTTGGCAAGAGCAGGGATAGACACCAAGAGAGCACTTATGTGAGCTGCTAGGAAACACAGTCAGAAAGAGCCATTCTTAAGATGTGTTTCTTTAATGCACAGTTGGGCTTCCCTCTGGGGCCATCCTCTCCCTTCCCAAGGCTCTGCTGGATCCTCGCCGCCCAGAGATCCCCACAGAACAAAGCAGGTAAGGAAAGCAGGATAACCACTATTCCTGGATGGCTTTGAGGAGGGATTTGTTTTGTGTGTAGTAGAGTTGTGTCAAGTAGAACACCTTGTCCTGGACAGATTCAGGGCAATTCTTGCATTAAATGAAGTGAGGTCACCGCACCCAGTCTGTGACCATGGAAAATGTTTGTGATACAATAGATCTTACCATTAGCAACATGAGTGTTATCTCCATTCTAAGAAGTAGCAGGCAGAGTGAGTGCCTGAAGTTTTTAGAATTACACTTACTTTTAGCACTTCAGAGGGCTGTTGCAGTGCAGTCTGACCCAGTGGCATGTGTGGTTTTCATCGTGCATCAGAAATGAATCTGCACTGGGAAAAGCCACTAAATTTGCTGTTTCAGGTCAGCTTGTGATGATCAGACATGAAATGCAGGTGATGTCCTCCATGTGCTGGTCGACTGGGTTTTGATTTCTCTCTAAATGCCTTTCAGAGAAGAGAACCTGATTCCGTACTCCCCTGATGTGCAGATCCATGCTGAGAGGTTTATCAACTACAATCAAACCATATCCCGGATGAGAGGGATTTATACAGCCCCCTCTGGCCTAGAGTCTACTTGTCTGGTGAGCACAGGCTGGAAGCTTCAGTGTAGAGATAAGGAGGTGCTGCAGCCTGTGGCAGGGAGCTCTGTGACTGCTGATCAAGTGGCTGCTCACTGCTTCAGTGTTTCTTCTTTTAATCAGAACTATGGACTTCACTCAGTCAGTTTTGATGCACCCAATCCTGTGCTCAGCTCTGGGCCCCTGACTGCAAGAGAGACATTGAGGTGCTGGAGCAGGGCCAGAGAAGGGCACTGGAGCTGGTGCAGGTCCTGGAGCACAGGGGTGATGGGGAACGGCTGAGGGACCTGGGGGGTTCAGTCTGGAGAAGAGAAGGCTCAGGGGGGACCTGATGGCTCCCTACAAGTGCCTGACAGGAGGATGGAGCCAGGAGGGGCTGGGCTCTGCTCCCAAGGAACAAGAGGAAACGGCCTCAAGCTGCACCAGGGCAGGTTTAGATGGAGCTGAGGAACAATTCCTTCCCCAGAGGGTGCTCAGGCATTGGAACAGGCTGCCAGGGGCAGGGCTGGAGTCACCAGCCCTGCAAGTGCTCACACCCCATGGAGACGAGGCCTCAGTGCCATGGGTTAGGGGTGGCCTTGGCAGTGCTGGGGTGAGGGTTGGACTGGATGAGCTTAAAGGGCTTTTCCAACCCAGTTGATTCTGTGATTCCATGATCTGGTCTTATACCAGATTTACACTGCCCCATCCCTGGCATTGTTCAGGGCCAGGTTGAACAGAGCCTTGAGTGCCAGGGTCTAATGTGAGGTGTCCCTGCCCATGGCAGGGGGTTGGAACTGGATGATCTTAAGGTCCTTTCCTACCCAAACCATTCTATGATTCTACACTAAAATCTGCATTTACCAGCTCATGATCTCATCCCTACAGGTTGTTGCATACGGCCTGGACATCTACCAGACCCGAGTGTACCCATCGAAGCAGTTTGACGTCCTGAAGGATGACTATGACTACGTGCTCATAAGCAGCGTCCTCTTTGGGCTGGTTTTTGCTACCATGATCACAAAGAGACTGGCACAGGTGAAGCTTCTGAACCGGGCCTGGCGCTAAGGCTGTGGGCCCAGGGAGGGCTTTGGCTGGAGAAGACATCTGAGATGTGGACTGGCTGAAGATCTGTCACCCCATGTTGGGTTCAGTTCCAAGTTCCAGCTTGCCTGATGGGTGCAAACACCTGTATTATGTTTTTGCTGGAGGATATTTGGGAGGAAAAGGTGCTGGTGCAACAACACAATATGGTGCCTGTGTGTCTCCCAGGGAGAAGGAATGGAAGAGAGATGGAAAAGAGACTATTATAAAGTAAATCTCCCCAACCTCCATTAATGCCCTAAAATCTGCCATGGCATCATCTCCCTGATGTTAGTGAAGATCTAAGGATGCACATACTCCTGATCCTCATCTCTTCCTCAGCAAGAGGAGGACAGAGGGATGTTGTGCTGTGTGTGCACGGTGCCACTTGAGCTACTGTGGGCAAGGACTGAGGAGACGTTGGGAAGAAGGTTAGAACTTGGATGGATGCTGTTGGAAAATGGCCCCATTGGGTCACTCAGTCACAGGGCTGTGGAAGGAATTTGAATGTAAAATCTCTCCATGTTCTTTATTTATTATGATGTTGGTTTTAATTTTGCTGTATTTGGTGTATAACACTGGGGCTAAGGTCTCATCATGGTTGGGGAGTGAAGAATCTCACAGTGTTCCCCTCAATAATGGCCATGTGCTCTTTGTATATGGATTTAGAATCATGGAATCAACTGGGTTGGAAAAGCCATTTCAGCTTATCCAGTCCAACTGTTCCCAGCACTGCCAAGGCCACCACTAACCCATGGCACTGAGGCCTCGTCTCCACGGGGTGTGAACACTTGCAGGGACGGTGACTGCAGCCCTGCCCTGGGCAGCCTGTTCCAATGCCTGAGCACCCTCTGGGGCAGGAATTGTTCCTCAGCTCCATCTAAACCTGCCCTGGTGCAGCTTGAGGCCGTTTCCTCTTGTCCCATCCCTTGTTCCTTGGGAGCAGAGCCCATCCCCTCCTGGCTCCATCCTCCTGTCAGGCACTTGTAGGGAGCGATCAGGTCCCCCCTGAGCCTTCTCTTCTCCACACTGAACCCCCCAGGTCCCTCAGCCCTTCCCCATCACACTTGTGCTCCAGGCCCTGCACCAGCTCCAGTGCCCTTCTCTGGCCCCACTCCAGCACCTCAATGTCTCTCTTGTAGTGAGGAGCCCAGAACTGAACGCAGGTTTTGAGGTGCAGCCTCACCAGTGCAGAGGCACAACCACTGCCCTGGCCCTGCTGCCACACTGGTGCTGATACAGGCCAGGATGCTGGGGGCTTCCTGGACACAAGCTGCTTGTGTTCAGTCAGCACCTCCAGGTCCTTTCCCATGTGCAGTTCCCAGCCACTCCTCCCAAAGCCTGAAGCGTTCTATGAGGTTGTCATGACCCAAGTTCAGGCCCTGACACTTTACCTTGTTGACCCTCATCCCACTGGCCACAGCCTGCTGCTCCAGCCTGTGCAGAGCGGCCCTGTTCACCACCAGATCAGCGCTCCCACCCACCTTGGTGTCATCTAAAAGGCAACATTGTCACAACTGATTTTTATCAGCGAGTTGTGGAGTGAGAGGCTGTGTCCTGTCAGGCACCTCCTGCGTGTGCAGAGAGCCCCAACAAAGCTGTGTCACAGAATCAGACTGGGTTGGGTTGG